CATTCAACCCTGTGGAACAAGAATATTGGGTTTGGAACTGTGTCTACTTTTGGGATTTTTTGTCTTTGCGCAGTTATTTAGCATGTTGTTCCCGGCCTCCTTACAAAGAAATTTTTTAATTTACGTCCTTTTCACTGAAGTGATAAAAAAGTTTTTATCACACATTATTTAACTCACGATTCTGTCTTGCTGGGTGCGAGTGTTTGATGAGGTCCAAAAAACTGCTACATCCAATCAGAGAAGATACCTTTTAGCGTAATTTACTTCTGTATCTTTTATGTCGTTGCCCGAAACGTTCGCACATCGTCTGCATCTTATATGTCGTCATGCAAGTTAAAATATGTGTATTATTTAAACGACATCACAATGTGGTCAACCGACCCATTATTGTGACAATTACCAACATCTGCAGGGCATGTTGAAGTTGGTAGTTTCAGTGTATTTTTCCTATGACCATATGTGATTTTGTAGATGCTTCTAAAACGTCAGTAGTAGTGTGCATCCTCCTTGCTATATTAAAAAAAAACATACGGATTACCTTAAGTTGCTCGTCCTTCGTACTTTTAAAGGTGGCCTCCGCATGTACTTACTTACTTGTACTTGGGTACGACTGCGATCATGTTTGATCTAGCTGGCCTCACTGATGTCACCGAGCGTACTTCTCTACGCGGGGCGTTTTGCAGCAGCATATCTGGACAACTCAACCCATTCTCTTAGCCAGCGATGGAAGCCGAATACGGAAGATCCGAGAACCACTTCCATATCGTGGTGAACTGTGTCAGGCAAGGTTTCGATGTAACTCCTTAGTGACGTCTCCAAACGGGTAACGGCGGCGGGTCAAGGGCAGCAACACCGAGCTCGTGAGGTGGACGACGAAGAATGTGTCCAAACCACCCCAGTCGTCTTTTTTGAATGATCTGAGATATCCTTGCGATTTTGTCACAGCGAGCGCGGAACATCTCATTTTAGACAGATGGTGTGCTTAACTCGAAGCATAGCCCTCAAGCAGCGTGGTCAGATACCTCCAGTTTTCATTAATCTTCCATGTGCACAGCCCAGCAGTCACGACTGCAGAGAAGGACAGACCGGACAGATGCACGGTACACGCGAGTCTTAATGGCGTTGGAAATGTCGCTTTGGGTCTATAAACACTTTCTAAGGCTTGAGGAAACCCGGGGCGCAGCCTCGATTCGATAGACAATTTTGTCCTTACTCTATCCATTCGGCAACAGCCTCATCCCCTGGTACTCAAAGCTGCCTACGTTTTTACGTTGGCAGATGTATATCTCGAGAAGCGCCTTCTGGTCGGAAAAACAGCTTGAAAGCACTGGTCTTCTCAACGTTTGTAGATAAACCGACGGCTTTAGCGACCTCATTCATCCGTGGCACTACAGACTGTAGATCGCCAAAGCTTGAAGCTAGTAGTGCGTCCGGCAGCCGAGTGCAAAGTCAACAACGCCAACTTCGTCTAAGGCGTTCCCCAAAATCCGACCAGTGGCGCATTTGAACAGAATGAATGACAGATCACAATCTTATCGAATGCCAGACCGAATATCTAACTGTTCGGAGATATTGTTACGGACTAGGACTTGTGCGGTGGTTGGGCAGTAGTAGGCATTGATCATGGCGATGATCTTGGCCGGCGCACCATGTCCACCTGTTCACGTGCACCCCTTAATTTCTCAAATTAGGAGCGATTTCCGCCGAGACCTATTATCCAAATGCGAGGAGGCTGTTAATAGCTTCATAACTTGTCTATACGTTTTGCGTTTTTAATGGTTCTGCAGGCCCATTTTGTATTCTTGAAGTGACCCAACATCCCAGTTTTGTTTTTTTCCTTAAAACAACCCTTTTTATAAAATACGAAATCCTTCCTATTCCTGTATGCGATGACTTACACATGCCTTTGAGCCAGGTAATTTGTTTGAAAATTTCACTTAATATCTTCTGGTCGATTTTCGAAAAATTACTTTACTTAGTTGACCCGAATATCCGAAGCCGAAACAGGCAATCAACTCTCCCTCCTCGACGTCCTTGTGCGCCTGTGTGCAACTAGGCAACCACAAATTGCATTAATCAGGAAAGTCACCGACAAAAGGCGAATACTACACGTCAACGGTAATCACACTGTATCACAAACTTAACTGCTTCCGCACTTTTCTATAAGGGTGGTTGGACACGGGAATAAATACCCCCTCCCCTGAACTACCTTCCTATAGAGTCTCCACTTACTTCGTTCAGGTAGGCCCACTCGGTCTCCAATCAGGGATGCCCGAGCAAACGTTTTCACGTGATTAAAGGCAAAAAGAGCAGAACTGACCAGATAAGACCTAATCGGAAACCGCAGACCTCACCATTTGCGACATGAAGCTGCTAACCAGAAAAATTGTAGTAAATAAAAGAAGGGCGGATAGTAACAATCGGGAGATGGCACCCAAAAATTCGCCTAACCAAAACAGTCTGTCTTACCGGACAGGTGGTAATAGGGGTTTTATGGGTGTTGGCTGGTCAGAATTTAGGATACTAGCCGACAGAAAGCCTTATTTGAACAGGCGAATGATCGAAGTTGGCCCGCTCTCCGTTCCGTTATTAGAAAATGGGTCGCCAAAGGCAGTGGACGAGTGGAAGGCGTATAAACGTCTGCCCTCAGAAGGTTATCTACATTTCTCTGTTAACCACTCAAAGAACTTCAAGTTCCCTACCACCAGACGGCACACCAATACCATTGAGGCATTCTGAGGTAGACTGAAAAGGAAACTCCACGAGGGAGGCCCTGTGTGTGGTCGAGCGGTGTGTGTTTACATAGACGAAGTACAGTATCGTCTTTGGTTTGGCCTCAATGCCATGTCTTTGACAGATGCCTGGGAACTGTTCCTGTCCCATGCTGTGCAGAATTATCCTATTTAAAGGTGATTTTGTTTTGTAATAAACTGCCATAAGGCGAATGTATGTCGTATATTCAGGTGTACGTGTGTAACGATGGGGAAGGTTGGGTAACAGCGACCATTGCCCATGTAACCTCCCGCGATGTTCGTTCGGCCAGCCCATATTAGGCCGTCGCGGAAAGTCCAAGTAGTGCGTGAAAGTAGACCTGCAACCGCTGATATAGCCTGAAGGCGTTTGAGTCCACTATTAAAGGTATTATTTCTAGGTAACGGATTTTTTGGGTGCCATCTCCCGATTGCTACCGGGCGGATGTCTGCGACATTGGTGACGGCATGGGAGAAGAGGCAGCGGACACTTTGCCGCGACCTCTCGGATGACTGGCAGGGGACCAACCAAGAACTGAGAAGTCCATTGGCATCAACCGTCCGGTTTTGTTGTTACCAACAGAAAACCGATTACTGCTGTGTTCGACCTAGCAGGTGCGCATGGCGAAGTTATATATGCATGTGCTCACAACGGCGGTTCAGGCGCCATTCACTGAATGGAAAGGAATCTGGCGGACGGAGATAACGCAGTGAACGGAAATTTTCTCCAAGGGCAACTTGCGTTTTCCTCGACGATGTCGGCAACAAGGCTCATGGTGTACAGCTTGAAGTCGCTGATTTTATTAGCAGCTGGAAATATAAGGCAAAAATAAAAGGCGTTTTCCAGCTGCCTTGTTGGTGAATGATATCAAACCAACTGTGGACCATGAAGCCCACTCGATGCGTTATACAAGACGTAAGT